TATGAAATACTAAACAAAAATAACAGTGGTGCTACAAACCTTTTCGGGTCTCAGATTTCTGAATCTGTTTCATTATCATTTGTCATAAGCATAAGCAAGCATAAGTAGGTGATCAGCCTCCTGTGCCTGAATCACGCCGTTTACTTTGTGGGTCTAAAGCAAGCCGGTTACCAGACGATGTTTCCTTCGCCGTGCGAACGAATGTAATGCGCAGGTAGAAAAAAAATCCATTGGTGCAAAGCCGGGGATCGAACCTACGACCTCAGGAATGAGAGTCGCACGCTGAAGCCACTAGGTCAACATTGCTTTTTGACAATACTGGAAGAGGATTATAAAATAACAATTAGACAAGATAGAAGCCTATTTAATTGAATTATTAGACGGTTAATCGGTTATTTCCCAATCATCCTGGCACTACTATCTACATGCAACCCAGCTTCAGTGAACTATAATATAGAAGGTGTCCATTCCGTATATATCAATTGAAACATTGAGGCAAGATTAATGAACAAAATATCGATAATATGTAACAAAAATATCGCTACATTTTGTCATAAAAACCCTATATAATGTGTGTTAAGTGTGTATTAGAAGCATTATAATACAGAAGGCTTCGTTAAATGGTCATACTGGAAGGACCACACCATGTAATATATTTGTATTAAATTATGCAACATAATGTACCAATTTAATATTGCAAATATAGTCGACATCATAATAAAATTGATTACCATTTTCATACTACTAATAATCATTATTTCTACGTATGGTACTGATATCCGTTATGGCTTTTTTAACTCTTTATAAAGAATATAGACTCCTTAGTGTTTTACCAAAATTATAAATACTGGCCGGAAAAAACAAAAAAATACCACAAAAAAAAACACTGGCCAGAGAGAAACAATTCAATACGAAACCTAAAACCGATATCCGATATTCAGTAACGTTTTATGCGACGTCAGAGATTCCTTAAAATTGTCACATTTACCATTTTCCTACATCGTTGAGTATCGTTTAAGAGCCCGAGGGAGGCCGTAATGACATCACAGCGATAGGCACTCTCGCAGCCGAAGATTTTTATCGACAATACATGCTATAGATAGTTTTTATCGGGGAACGCTTGTGTAACACGTCTACGTAGAAAGGGAACGTAATATAACGATAAAGAAACTTTTCATAATGTATAGAAGTCTTTTAACGTAAGTAAACGTTTTTTTAAGCAGATGCCAGTACCGTCCCCATGACTTCACCTGGGTCTTGAATGACGTTGGTTCGATGTCTAATTATTCCAACTTACTGTGATATTAGTAGCTACTTAAAAACACACAGAATTTCTGCCCTATGCCACATTTTACGGGACTTCACTCGTTCATATAGAAGCATGAGTTCTGGGTTTAAGCTAATTGGATAATATTGTCGGGCATTGAGTCACGATGACTGTAAAACAGCTGAGGAGCAAATCAGTTTTGTTATTTTATGTTAACCGCTTAAGTGACTTAAAATGATTGGTTATTAAAGCTCTTTTAAGGTTTTTTAGGAGAAGAGGTCGCCCAAAAAAAAGGTGGATAGAAGAAATAGAAGCGGTAGCAGGAAACGAATGGAGAAACAGAGCCATAGATAGAGTCATTTGGAAAAAGCTGGAGGAGGCCTTTACCCGTGAAGGGGTTCCGATCGACGTTACTGAAGGAAGCTAGAATATAGAATTACAAGCAAAAGGAAAAAAAATGTGAAATAATCTAAGCTGTGTATTATAATTTGTTTTTGTCATGATCGGAAATAAAACAGGCTTTATTATTATCAAGGTTTCTTATTATTGTTTTTTTTATGATTTTTCTCTTTTCAATGTGAAATGATTTGTTAGTAGCATTCCCTATTTTTAGAAGTTCCTTAAATTGTGGATTAAAAATCTCCAGAAACTGGAACACACAAGAATATTTATTTCTTAAGAGTATTGCTCAAATAATCGTACCTAACAGTAACAACAAACTCTCTTTTCCCGTAAAAATCTATTGTGAAGAGTATTTTCCCCAATATTAATTAGTTCCTCATACGAACAAAGAGTATAACTTTGTTGGATTCACACCACGCGTGAAACTTTTCTAATTAACTTGCTTCGACAAAAGTTTTTTCGTTAACGACGCCGGTCGAAGTAGCTTTTGTTGTAGTTTTAATGTTGTCTTATCCGTTTGATACATCCAATTTTACGCTTTCCTTCAACTCTAATGCTGGACATACAGTTTGGCCTTAACAGTAAAAATACATGTGCTTGGTAACGGCGACGTTCAATTAGACCAATTAGTTAAAGGCAATTCTTTATTGGCAATGTGATGTGAATTTAAGACATACACGAGATCTCTGTACTTGTAGTACTTTTAGTTTCAACTTTAACCTAGCATGTTAAGATAAATAGTTGCTATATTTGTTTTAAAATAAGTGTTGTTCGCCATAGTAATTTTGTATGATGATTGGATATTTTAAAAGAGTACCGAGCGTTTTTTACGCCGGCTTTTTCTCAGGCCTACCCTATCTCTTCGTTGCCTATGAATAGGGATGTCTACCGATACAAATTTAGTGACGTAGAATAAGTGATACTTGTATCTTATATTCCACAATAAACATTTTTCTTTATAATATTCAGCGGCTTGATCCCTTGGCGCTGCGTAGAGATGTGGGGTCTCTCTGCATCTTCTACCGCAATTACCACGGATAGTGTTCAAAGGAGTTGTTCGGATTAATACCTGCAGCTGACTTTCATCATCGGTTGTTCCACAACTGAGTTTTTGCCGCGCACCACCACTATGTCTAACCATCTGCCCTCTGAAGTATTTCCGAACCAATTCGACGTAGGGACCATAAAAAACTAATTCTTGAAAAACTGGCAACGCACTCGCAAGCCCTCTGGCATAGAGAGTGTCCATGGGCGGTGGCACTTAACATCAGATGAGGCCGTTCGCACTGTTCTAAAAATAAATAAAAAATACTGCGACCGGCCCGTAGCCCTCAGTGGCTATGATCGAAGTTGTGCATATTGTTAGCGGTATGAATAAATAACTTTATTAGGAGCTGTTCATGAATTACGTGATGTATTTTGAGCATTTTAAGTCCCCCCAAAAATACACGTGATTATAATTATAGTCTTAAACCTAGGGCTTCCCCCTTGGTGGAGAGGTTTAAGACTATAATCATAATCACGTGTACTTTTGTAGAAACACGTTCGACACACTTTCACTAACGAATTGTTTTAGCTATAGTAATAATAATAATAAAGTAAAGTAGAACTAATAGTAATAGAGTTTATTTGCCTCTTCACAATATTCCATTTTACGAGTTTACATGCTGCAGGTATTTGACAATCTTTGTGAGAGGCTGGTGCCTATAATATGACAATACGTACTTGCGAACAGAAAATATACAAAGACAGTAAACTTTCAATAATGAGTTCCTGAGTTCATATCACAGCTGTGCAATAAATTTTTCTTTCTCTGTGTCAGTCACAGAAGGACTCTTCACAAACAGGTATTTGTGGCCTAGGATTGTAGCGCCACATGTTTATCAGGGTTAAACTTTTATGATAGAATAAAACACATTTCAGTAACACATCAATCTTATTTTAAGTACAAAATTACTTAGAAGCTTACACCGAAACAATCGATAATACGAATATAGAACGACTGTTAAATTATATCAGGTACTATTTGAGTTTCGATAGTAGGTATCAAAAATTATAGTTTTAAAAGTTTATAAAATATTAATGTAATGGTATATGTGTCGCAGCCAACTTGCTTAATTAGCCGTTTAACTAACAGCCTGGCCTCTTTACTAAACAGCGCCGTTTAACTAACGGCCTGAATGATATTCAACCTTTTGATCAAGCTAGGAAAATCCAAGCTATCCTGTTGATTTCCATTTAGTTCCACTTTCTGCCACCGAACCCAAACTGTCAATAAAGCGTCAGCAAACAACATATTTAATGAAAACTAGTATGGAATAGTGTAGTTACACTAAGAGTAAGCGTATGAACACTTATAAGTTACATTTTAAATATATTAAACAAATATATTTGTCAGATATTTCAGCTTTTTTATTTCTGTCACATGGTCGTACGAATGGCCTAAGCATGTTTATTAAATGTCGTAACAAATGCTACGTCTTAATATAATTGAGGCCGCTAGTTAAACGGCGCTGTTTAGTAAAGAGGCTAGGCTGTTGATTGAACGGAAAAATATATTCATTAGATAACATAATTTGTGATAATCCTTTTAACATTTCGTCCATCTCACTTAATACGATCACACATAAAAAAATACGAGTATAACATACACATATAAACAGCTATGTTTTTCGTGTGTTCGTGACGCATTTTGATTCAGCCCCTAAGATGTGTTAAACAGGTTTATTGCACTAAAATATATAACGATCAAAGTGTATAGCAAAATTCTTAAAGTTGCGTGAACTTTATAAATCACTTAAGCTGATTAATATAAGATGTGTATAATACCATTAATGTTCTGTCATTATCACTCTTATGCTACTTTGTAAATGAGTAAAGGTGACAAAACATGCTTCCTACTTTTTACCTTCACTCAATAAGCACTTATCTGATACAATATTTACAATACAATTTTAATTATTTACATTTTGTGCGTAAAGATAAACACAATAATTTTTGGTCTTTGGTTTCATTTTAAACACATACCTCAAACATGCGGTTGGTATCACTGAAATATAATTCAGTACTAGTGTTTCTGGCAACACTTAATAGGTAATTTACGTTGCTCTGTCCAGTGACAGGACTTTATGAGTCCTGTAAACATACATCGTTTTGGCGGCGTTCTTTTGTCTATTCACAAGAAACGCGCACCAAATTGTTTGTTTTACAATAATAATACTTTTAAAAATTATTTGATGTTAATATCGGGAATCTGCCACACCGATGATAACGCTATAAACGCTTTGTCTAGCAATTAAGTAACCAAGTATACATAAAAAAATATCTTGCGTCATTCAACACATCTTTTTTCATAATTGGGAACCCACCACGCTCTAAAATCCTTGTACGTTGTATGTTTGTCCATCCTTTCATTTAAAGCAGCGCAAACGTCGCAAACATTATCGTCATACATTGGGTTCTTATAAGTAAACTTTCGTTTCCAGCTCAGGTAATGACTATACGTTTTGGGGTACTCGATAAGTGTGACTATAGTTGATGCTAAATCCTCTGGTGTAGACTTTCGTGCATCTAGATAAGAACCGGGGGGCAGAAACCTGCAAACAAAAGTGTTAAAATAATATAAAAAAAGACAATTGTCGTGAATAAAAGTTTATCTAAAAACAGATAAGGAAATCTGAGGCCATGACCAAGGGTCAGTGCGCCACTGGTTTTAATTTCTCATCAGTTTTACGTTCTTAACTTGACAGCTCTTCAAACTGTCAACATGACGTCGGCAAAACACAACTTTGATGGTGTTTTCCAAATTTTCATGAAAAACAACAAGTACAATGGAAGAGTGTAGTGACTATAATAATGTAAATTTAACTGAAGCATTTGAATTTTAGAATAAATATGTTTTATGTCATATGTTTATCTTTTTATTTCTGCCAAATAATGACTCTATCGTACCTACGAATGGCCTAAGCATTAGCCAGCCAGTTTATTAAATGTTGTAACAAACGCTACGGCTGAATAATTTTCAGGCCGTTAGTTAAACGATATATACTTATGATTGTCAAATACTTAAAGTGTATTTTAATTAATACGCTTTATTCTTATTAATCATGTTTTTATTACATGGTGCGTAACAAAGAAATTTATTTAAAAAAATAACTGAGTTGACAAGTTAAGCAGATTCTCTACTTTAAAATGGTTTCATATTATCTGTAAAAATGTTTAAAAGTATTTTTACAGAACAGAGGTTAAACGGGCAGGAAGAACCTGATGTTAAGTAATACCGATAATCATGGACACTGCCATATATATGGCTGGCGAGTACATCGCCTTTTAATAATTACATACATATTCAATACATTAAAAACAATAGCAATACAATCAACTCGCAGTAATTGTTTCGCTTTTTATAGCACACGAGACGTTGACTTTCACGATTAATCTTAACTGCCGACTTTGCCGATAAGAAAAAACTGTTCTTAGTTGGTATAAAATGCGATTTTAAATATGAAATCTGCAGTTCTTGTACACAACAAACTTAATGGCCACTAGTAGCAGTAATGTTACAGGTTGAGCAGTTTTGGCCAAGTGGCTTCAGCGTGCGACTCTCATCTCTGAGGTCGTAGGATCGATCCCCGGCTGTGCACCAATTGACTATCTTTCTATGTGCGCATTTAACATTTGCGCGAAAGGTGATTGAAAACACTGTGAGGGATCCGGCTTGTCCTAGACCCAAAAAGTCAGCGGCGTGTATCAGGCACAGGAAGCTGATCACCTACATGCCTATTAGTTTGATAAATTACCACGAAAAAGATACAGAAATCTGAGGCCTAGACCTAAAAAGGTTGTAGCGCCACTGATTTATTTTATTTTTTAAAGTCACAGGTTAGTTATATTATAGTAATTTTCTATAAAAATACTTCATAATAATTAATTTTACAATGCTGATTTCTATTCCTTATTTAGATGTCGTGGAGATGCCAATGTTGACAAAGCGCGTTGTTGTGTAAAATGAAAAAGTTATCCAAATGCCGGTGATTCGAGTCTCATACTGTCCAGCTATTCCGATCAAACATTCATTATATTTTGCATTCATTAATCGGTCTTATAGTCCTGTATACGCGAAAAAACTAGAAAATAAATTAGTGGCGAGTTATGTAACCTAACATTAGTTAAGTTATATATATATATATATATATAGTTAGTTATATATATAGTTAGTTTATAATTAGAAGCGTCAACAATGTTAGCAATCACCGCACACTTGAAGCCAACATTTAGCCCTTTAGTTTATAACCCACTCATAAATTGTAATACAACATTTTTGTTTCCGATAATGTCCAAAAAGGTCTTACACTTGTATTGAAGTGTCACTTAGATTTATAAACTATTAGATAAGCCAAGTTGGTTTTTGTTAGCGTCGCAACCCCACTACCCCTAATTTTATGTTAGTAATAAAATCATATTTTAAACGATTAAAGTTAGTTGCTACCCAGCTTCAAACAAAGTGTTTCATTAAACATATGTCTGAACATTCGACGTCTCATTGGTCTAGTGGTTAGTACCCCTGACTGCGAATCCATGGGTCCCGGGTTCGATCCCCGGCTGAGACGAACATCGATGTGATGAGCATTTGGTGTTGTGCTTAGGTCTTGGGTGTTTAAATATGTATTTATATGTCTATCTATCTATCTATAATATGTATGTATATCTGTTGCCTAGTACCCATAACACAAGCTTCACCAGCTTAGCATGGGACTAGGTCAATTGGTGTGAATTGTCTTTAAAAAAAAAATTATCTACAACAACCGCCACCGAACTTAACTGGCGTTACAAGGCCTGTGCTGTGTGCCTCAGATTTCTGTATCATGATAATGATGTAAATCTAATAGGCAAGTAGGTGATCCGCCTTCTGTGCCTGACGCAGGCCGTCGACTTTTTGTTTGGGTCTAAGCCCAGCTGGTTTCCTCACGATGTTTACCTTCACCGTTTGAGCGAATGTTACAAGTGCACATAGAAAGAAAGTCCTACCTACCGACTGTCCTCAGGGATGAGAGTCGCACGCTGAATCCATTAGACCAACACTGGTCATAAAAAAAACCTATGTATATGGTAATTATTACACGAGTTTTCTTATGTGTAAGTTGTCACTCACCTTGAATAATCAGCACCTCCAAAAACAATAGGTACAACATCATGCTGCAATGCAGTCAATAGTTTCTCAGTAACGTAATCTTCGGAAAACGAATTCTCAAATGATAGGTAAAAGAAATAATCCTTTTCCAAAATATAATTGCAGCTATCTTCCTGCTCTCGAGGGCATGTGTACGGCCCACATTTACCATAAATATCCACGCTATAACCATAAACAGAGAGAGCTCTTTGCAAGTCTTTAGCTACTTCTAGTCTGTGACTTCTACTTTTACAATTAGAAACAAACCAAGCCACAGCCTTTGTCTTATTCTGAATACGATAGAAAAGGTCTTCGTCAATGTTACCCTCAGTTTCATCCCAAACCATTCCTGCTTTAGGCCCAATTATCTCTCCTTCTCTATCTCTTACTTGCAAATACGGGAAGGGAATGTCCGAATCCAGTCGATACGTAGAAGTCCAGTTGAAGAAATCATCAAAATATGGGGAACAGACAGGGTAATTGTTTGCTGATTCCATATTGAAGTATATGAACTTCTGGTGATCACTACGTCGGTAGGGTAGTTCTGATTTCGACATCGTGACTATAGACCTTCCGTTGAAAGCAATAGCGTCGAATTTAGTGGTGTCTCCGTCGAATAAGTATCTATCTGAAGTGACATAACAGTTTATATATGTGCAGTTTTTCTCTATGAATTTCCTCTGCCCTTGACCGAGAATGTAGAACGGTGCCAGCTCTTCCGTGGTCCAGAGAAGGATAAATTTAGTTTCATTCGGCAGTCTATCCGCCTTTCTGTATACTTCCGCGAATCTGTAATCGCGAGCGACATTTTCAAGGGCCTCTTGAATTAAACTTTCGTTCTGGTATGAATATATTGGTTTGTCCACGAATTGGATCCAAGTCACTGAAATCGTGAAACTAATGCAGGTGATGATAAAAAATGACCGCGGTGTCAACATTTGTCTTACGTTTGTAACAATGCGATGCCGAAGAGGAGTACACATAGGCATTTTATTCGCCACATCGTTACATATTTTCGTCTCTCGCCATTCATTATTTTGTTTGGATTCATCTATTTGTTAGCCTGAAAGAGAAATTGTTGTTTAATATACAATTCCAATACTATGGCGATATAATAACACGACTTTGTAATTAAGTTAATTTTTCATGCAGTTATTTTTCCTAGTACATAACTGGTTTTTATCTTTACCTAACGTTATGGTCTATACCAAACTATTGTACTTTCGATAGTAATACTAGTTTAGTTGCCTGGAAGAGATCGCTCAAAAGCGATAAGGATTATTTCAATTGTACTATATTTCTGTATACTTGCAACGAGTGGTAATAAATAAAAAACCAGAACCAAGCCCTTATTCCCAAATGGGGCTCGGGATAGACGCAGATAGAATAAGGTTTAATTTTTTGTTAATTAATTCGTATAAATTACTATTTTTCCGGGATCAAACCCAGCACCATTAAATAGTTTATTTAAGTACCTACATCGTACATAGTATTATTTCTACATAATAAACACGCCTGTACAATGTTTGTAAACAATGAACAAAAACTATAGACAAGATTGCACCGGATGTATCAAGTTTCGAATCAAATTTCATGTTAATTAAACAAAGTTTTTTGTTGTGTATGTGCAACAATTTAATACGATCATTATATCACAACAATTATAGAAACTAGTCATGAAGAGTGTGTATGTATATGCCACTACAATATAAACTGGTTATTAATTATATATTTTTTCAAGTATTTTTTACAATATTTTAGTAGTGTAGCTTATGTATAAACGAGTCATAACATGATTCTTTGAACAACTTTCCCTTCAAACGTAGTCACGATTATAAGATTATAACATTGTAATTATTCTTAAAAAATATTGTAGAAACAGGTCATCACCCCTTACTTTCGATATAACCCGACCAAATACAAATCCATACAAAATAAACACATAACATACCACATCTTAATTTCACAGCATTAACTCGCACATGCGCCGTCACTTAATCACAAACAAGATGACTACAGAACACTAGGTAATAATATTTTGTTACGTGTATAAAAACAATTATTAAATTTATAACAATTTATATTTACATTTTGTATATACTATGCAGGAATTTTAAACAAAATTATGTTTTTATTTGCGGCACGTCAGCTGCCACGACGGGCGGTTCGCGACTGCGCATTGCGGTTCAAAAACAAGGTCACGCCATTGAATTTATAGGCCACTGGCCATATTACATTCGTTTTTTTTAAACTTGCGCTTTAAGTCATTAAGGGGAAGCCCACGGTACAGATTGAGACAACATGATGGCCCAGCACGTCTAGAGCGCGCGTCAGTGTGCGTCTAAAGCGATTGGATATATTGGCCCGATAGAGACCCACGCTAAGTCTATCTTACATGTTGACATATTATTAGAATCAGTTCGCGCTCAACTCATTTTTGAATCTATTCCAGTCTTGACCAGTGAGCGTCAGTAGGTCGTTACGTTAAAAAACCAACTGCGCCAACGATTTTTCTGAATGTTGAACAACAACATTTCAATCAATTTCTTTAACATTTGAAAGCTAGGGTGATAAAGATGGGGTTTGGGGATGTTTGGGGTTGACTGGATAAGCTATTTATTGACTGCGAAAAACATTACAGGTGTACTTTAAATTTTATCTTTTGACTAATTATAATTTAATGCCCGATTATTGAATTAAGTTTGGAAATATAGTGTAGGCCTGACGTTAATAGGAAATATATTGAGGACTAGCGACCTGTTCCAGCTGCTCATGGCACCTGATGTTAATACCGCCGCCCCTATACACTCACATACATACACTGCCAGAGGGCTCGCAGTGCGTTGCCGGCCGAAAATACTGTAGTATTCTAATCGTATAAGAAATATTTCATAATAATTGAAAAGATATTCTGACATTTAGACAGATACTTTTCTCGTCATTGATTCGTCATTATCAGTTCCTCTGATAGCAAATTATTATTTTTAATCAAAAGTTTAGTACTACTCAGGCCCAATGTTGTTAGTGAATGTAACTTATATATACTTATGTAGCATTTGATTAAATATTTTTGGAGTCATCACAAAAACTAACGAAAGAAAAAATAAACTCCGTCAGAACTCGCCGGTTCACGTTCGCTTCCGCATCGTTGTCGCCTACACTTAACTACAATTTTTTTTCAATATTGTATATCTATGAATTATTAGGAATGCTAGTGGTTAAACATTTGTTTCACGTCGTTCAAACGCCAGCGGTGCAGTAATATATTTTTATATATGTGCAATCAACACATGCCCGTACGGAAGGAAAACGTTGTGAGGAAATACGCTTAAAACCCTAAACACAGAATCGCCTATAAAGGAAAACTAAAAAGAAATCCGATTTTGCGTCCGAACTCAGTAGCTTCCAATACCAAAAGCGATGCCGATGATTGTATGTTCGATGTAATTCTCTCAGTATCGTAGCGCTGATGTCGCAACCTTGGAAACTCGGAACAAAAACTCATAACTGTGATCGGGTTCTGTCGGTATTATAATCAGATATGGGTAAAAAACCGCCTTTATCGGGAAAGGTGGACCTTTCTTCGTACTTAGCTCGTTCCAGTGAAGTTCCATCTAGCCTAGCATCTACAGGCGATTGAACACCCCGCCAAGCCGAGGTCTGAGGCTTGCAAGTTGCAGGAGACGCCCTAGAGCTAGTCGCAGGAAAACGCCCATTCCGGCCGAACTACTCTCGCCAAAACAGCCCGAGCTAACTATAAAGGCGCTTATGGAAAATAGCGCGATTCCATTCAAAAAAGAAACGGTATTGGAAGTTACAGAGAGAGAGCTCATGCGTTGGTCGCTTGTTTTAATGGCCCAAACATAGTCATATTTCGCAGTTGGACATATAATTTACATACTTTAACTAGAACAAAAATCTTATCATCTTCGTATAAGTTAAAGTCAAATTTAACGATCAAATTTCATAAAAATATTGCACATAAAAATCCGTAAAACTCACGATTAATAATTAAAAAATAGGAAAAAATACAATCACCTCACGTCCACACGAGTCAGCAATCAGTTAAAACTGAACTAAAAACAGCGAGTTGATACAAAACAGACTCATTTTGTAAACACACATATTTATGACGATAATTTGATAAAGTACCGCCTTCTAATTGCCTCATAGAATCCATTTCCACATAACTTCTGGAAAATATTTTCGGTAAATTTAACTAGATTCAATAAAGAAGATTCGAGTTGCCCCTTCCAAAAGGTAGTTTCGTGTGGAGAAGAATGGGCCAGAAACTCCACACTTACTCTTTTAAAATAGGTTTACAATATTTTGTTTACAATAGTTAAATAATTATATGTGAAGACAATGTACTCTTAGATTAAAACTACTATACTAAAAAAGTAAGTATACATGTTCCTCACATATTTACAAATATCGATTATACATTAAAGAGTAATAAAAATAATATATAAAAAACACAATAAAACAGTGTGTGAGATAAAATAAAATAATTACATTTTGTAGAATTATAAATTAAAAAAAATTACAAAAATATGTACTTAATAGCAAAAAATCAGCAACCAATTTGTTTTTGTCCAGGCTCTATGATTGTCCTATGGAGCAGGACCAGCATGAATTCAAGCGTTTTAATTATATTACAAAACATTAATATCCAACACACAAATATACAGTATTTCCAATATTCTTAACCTATATAGTAATTGTAATTTAAAATTAAAACAAATTTAAATTCAATTCAATTCAAAATCATTTATTCATATAGTTAACACAATGTATAGTTATGAACGTCAAAAAATAAATAAATATGAAATGCATCTAATTTTACATTTACTGCCAGTTCTCAATGACGTACAACGGAAGAGAAGAACTGGCAATAGACTCTCCGCCACTCTTTTGAATCGCCAAGTTTTTTGTTTTACACAACCTTTGTAAGGAGCTGCAACCATTACACCATGTTCCATATGACAACAATAGTTTGGTCCCTGTGGTACCTTTAATACTGGCAGCATTTCCTTGCTGTATTGCGATACTTATTTGTTCAGCGAGGAGAACACCAGCTCTGGTACAATAGTTTAAAGTTGCCATTTTAGGTGGTCTCATTGAAATAAATGATTTGACTTGGTTGTCCAAAACGAGTTATACAATTATGTTATAAATTCGCTTTAATATATGTTATACATTGTTCCGATTTTATTTGAACATTGTCCAACGGCTGACCACTCACGTGGCTGAAGGTGCGCGGATCACCGAGACATCATGAGAGTAATTTTATGTACCTATGTGTGAATAGGTGTAAATTGTATTGAAGATATTGTATGATACATAAGATTCAAATATTACTCTGTCTTATTAATTTCTCGCTTCCCCTCAAAGTGGCGAAGACTCCTTCAAGCCCTTAATTATCGTGGGCAGACTGCCCGATAGCTTTTGAACCATGAACCCCTACCTACCCGTAGGGCTCCCCGTCTGTTACCTTAGGCCTCCTGGTGCAGACATCCATCATATTTATTTATTCACTACAGTAAATTTATTCCAGTAACCGAATGCCTTATTTTACCGGTTTTCATCCTGTGTAACTAATTGCATGTGTAATTATATAGAATTAGTTAAAATTGTTCACAGTCCATTCGTTTCGTAATAAAAAAAACAAGTGTTTCCTCTTAGATAACCCTTACCACAATAGGATAATAATTTTCCCTACAATTAGTATAGCTAAAATTCTTTTTAGTTTATTTAGTTTGATTACATCATATTATAATATACAGTCATTACAATATTCTTAACCTACATAGTAATAATAATAATTAAAAATTGATAAATAGAAAATAAAAGCAATTTTAAAAATGTGGCAGTGTACTTTTAATGCTGGCAGCATTTCCTCGCTGTATTGCGACACTTATTCGTTGAACGAGCAAAGCTCCAGCTCTGGGGTTACCAGTACTATCTACCAGGCGGCACGTAAGATATA